AACAAATGCCAAGATTTTGCCCAGCTTTCTGTTACAGTCCTTTGACCCTGGGTCTCATGAGGACATTTTTAGGGAGAGGGGCTGTCTTAGAGAGGCATCCAGTGAGGGTACAACCTTTGGTTGGAATCATCCCTCCCCTCCAACTCTGGCTCCAGGTCTTTGAACCAAAGGTGTGGGTCCCTTTCCTCTGAACACCAGTCTTCCAGGGTCCCAAGGAGAGCTCTGGCCCCACATATTCGCCTTGGTGTTTTTTCCCTTCATATAATCCTCTACTCTGACTTTGAAAGTAAATATGGTGTTTTTCAAAGCATCGTTTATCCCCTGTGGGCTATAAATACCGTTGTGAGCAGCAAGAACAAATCTTATTAAAGTTGCTAAGAGAAATGAAATCATTCACTTTGATAGAAGTTAATAGAAGTGTGCTTCATTCATATTTACACCTTCTCAACTGCTCTCCGCTTGTCGTTAGTGTTCTTTCTGGGTGGAAATGATGATCTAGGCCACAGCAGTAACTGTCTTGGTTCCCCTGGAGAACCACATCATCTTGAGCAGGAATAATGACTGTTCCATGGTCTCCCTCCCCCATACTAGATAAGAAGCGTATATACCGTCTAGGAGGAAGAAGAACGAAGTGTAATTCTATAATACAATTTTTATAAAGCCTCTACTTTATATTGAACAAAGTTCACAGTCTATGAATGGTTTGAAAATTAGCAGGAAAGAATCTGCAACAACAGTGCTTATAATAATGGCTAGAATAGAAAAAGAACCATGTTCCCCAGTCTGGTACAGGATTATTGGTCTTTTTATTCTTTGCTTCAAATATTGCCCTAAGTGCTCCCAGTAATCAGGTTAGTGGGAGCTTTGGATAATCTGAGTGTACCTTCATACCCCTCTGCAGATAGTGGGCCGACGGAGCCCTTCCTTCTGCAGTGACTCAGGAAACTCCAGGCCAGGGGTCTTGGGACCTGGTTGGTTGACTGGGGTGCAGTCCTGGGTCCTTAGTGTTCAGGAGTAATGGAGATTTGGAAAGTTGATTTTTGTACTTAAAGGAAATGCATATGTCAACAAGTGGTACTCCATGAGCACAAGGGAAAACTGAAGTGTTGGCTTTAGAACAAGCCAAAAATATCGCCAAGAGCCTAGAAAAGGTGCATTTAATCGTAAATACACATAGATGGAAGGAACAGTAGATTTATCTCTGCTAAAACTGACCTGTCTTTGCTGACAGACTGGTCTTTGAACAAGGAGTGGTATGTGTTATTTTACCAAAAAGAGACTTGTTAGCTTCTTTATTCTTCACAAGAATAGTTTTCCTATGTATCGTTAGTTACTTTATCATGAGTAAGATGTCATGTCATCTTGGTGCTTATTAATCACCCTTTCTTTCCAACTAACTGTAAGAATAATTAGATGAAATTGGTGGCAGACCACTGCTTCCACATTAATCTTCTTAAGCTGGCGTCAGTGAAACATTCAGACATGAACATCCACTCTTAAGTATGTGTTTCTCAAGAATAGAAGTTTAACAGACTCACAGACATAGAATACAGACTTGTGGTTGCCAGAGGGGTTGCGGGTAGGAAGGGATAAACTGGGAGTTCAAGATTTGCAGATACGGACTGGTATATGTAAAATAGATAAATAAGTTTATACTACATAGCACGGGGAAATATATTCAATATCTTGTAGTAGCTTTATGGTGAAAAAGAACATGAAAATAAATTTATGTATTTTCATGTATGACTGAAGAATTGTGCTGTACACCAGAAATTGACACAACATTGTAAACTGACTATACCTCAATTAAAAAAAAATTGAAGTTTAAGAATAGATGTGCAAGAAACATTTCTATCAGAAGATGATGATCTGTATTATTAGAGAGTTTTAAAATATTAAATGGGATTAGCAAAAAAAAATAGAAGTTTTCAGGCATTGGTATTTGGAAAGCAAATCTTTTGTCTTATATCGATATGGTTAAGACTTGTGAAATCAAGTAGCTCTCATTGGTGGGGTGTACACATCTGTTGACTGCAGTTTCAGAGGCAAATGCAGTGTTGGTATTTTTGGAAGCTTTGGAAACAACGTGTTCATCAAGGGACTTCTGGCAGTTCTGCTGCATGTCCTCACCCTGAGACCTGGGCTGTAGGAGCCACTACCCCTCTGGACTGTCGCTGGTCACCAGGACACAGAAAAGAGGGTAATGAAGCCCTCTCTGTCCCTTAAAAATTCTGCCCAGATGAGTTTAATTGGCCAAAGCAAGTCTCACGGGCATCTCTCATGAGTGGGCAGGAAAGTGCCATCCTACTGCTTACTTAGGGGAGAGAAGTGGGAAGTTTTGTACATTTGTAGTGACTAACTCAAGGGCAAAGGTGGAGATTGATCATTAAAATGGAAAACTAGTTCCTTGAAAAGACCAGTAAAACAGGCAGAGCTTTGGTGATCAATAAGAAAGAGGGAGGAGATGGTGTAAAAGGTGGTATCAGTAGGTTCAGAGAAGATAGATGAAAACAGAAGAGACTGCTGTATATGATTGTATTACAGTATGTTTGAAAACATGGACATGACACATGATTTTCTTGGAAAATAGAAGTAAAATTGGGTCAGTGTGTAGATTCCCGAGTAGAAGGTGTTTTTTAAAAAAATATTTGAAGGTCTGCTGGTTAAAATACTCAAAGCCCAGTTGGCTTTATTAGTGAGTTCTACCCAGTTCCCAGAAATAGACATTAGATACACAATTAATATTTGTGGAATAAAATGGATGGACAAGTCTAGCATGAAACTGATACTGAAATCAGATGAGGATGTCACTCATAGGCTAATAAAATTTAAGAACATTGATGCAACTGTCCTAAAAGAAACTAGCTAACAGAACCTTGATGTACAGTAAAAGAACCTAAATCTGCCCAGTCATTACCTTCTGAAGGAGATATGCCTTTCCCGTCTTGTTTAAAATTGCAGCCTTTGGAGGAGGGTATAGCTCAGTGGTAGAGTGCATGCTTAGCATGTATGAGATCCCCAGTACAGTGCCCAGTACCTCTATTAAAATAAATAAACTTAATTACTTGACACCCCCACCCTGCAAAATTCCTAAAATCTTCTTAAAATTGCAGCCTTCCCCTGCTACACTCCCAAACTGCATTATCTTGTTCTGTTTTCTCCCCTAGTGTGTATCATCTTCTAACATGTCATGTAAATTATTTACTATTTATTGTCTTCCCCTTCTGCTACAAAGTAAACTCCACAAGGACAGGCCTATTTTTTAATTAATTTAATTTTTGGAGGGGGGGGTTGTTTTGTTCACTGGTATAAGAGTACCAAGAACAGTTGACACTTAGTAAATATTTGTTGCAAAAATGAGTTAATTGTAAATGCAATGTGGGATCCTGGATTGGCTTCTGGAACAGAAAAGGACATTAGTGGAAAATGTGATATTTGAATAAAATCTTTAGTGATTAGTGTTGTACCAGTTTTAATTCCTTAGTTTTGTTGTGTATGTTGGTTAGGTAAGATGTTAACTTTTGGGGAAGCTGAGTGAAGGGTATATGGAAACTCTCTAGACTGTCTTTGCAACTCTTCTGTAAATCCAAAATCACCTCAAAAGAAAATTTTTATTAAAATTAAATCCAAAGAATTCTAAGGTGCTTCAGCATTTAAAAGGTAAGATTAAATTTCCATTCGCATGACACCTTCTCCATGAGTCTCATCCTGACCACACAATTTAAGATGATATAGAGCCTCACTGCTGAACTCTCAGTCCTTCTTTCCTGCTCTATTCTTTTCCTTTTTTGCCGGAGCATTTTGTTACCTTCTAACACATTATCCAATTTAATGACTTATTTTTGCCTGTTGTTTGTTGTCTGTGTCTGTGAAGACAGGGCATCTTGTTTTGCTCTTCATTAAGTATTTGTTGAGTGATAAAATATAATTTATGTCTAAAAAAATGGAGCAAATCATATATTTCTGTGTGGGGGGTGGTGTGGTGTGTGAGAGAAAATAAGAAAGGGTCTGGATGAAGTTGGCTACACTGATTCATCTTTGGAATGGGACTGAGTATTAAGCATGTGGTCAAGGGGAGGGGCCAGGCTGGGGGTTGGGCACGGGCTAGAGTAGGGGAGGACCAGAGAAGCCCTCACTCCCAGGGAGTGCTTGGGTTGGGTGCCTCCTTTCTCTCTATACCTTAATGTGTGCTGCTTGCCTCACCTAGTCCTGGAGCTTAAAGACTATTTTTCTGCTGTTTGAAATGTTATAGTTTCAGTTACTATCCATGTTAGTTGTTTAACCTTTTAAAAATTAAGAGGAATGAAAAAGGAAACAAAACAAAAGCAAGTTTTTATTTGTTTTTTGAGATCCCTTTAAAGTTACCAAGGAGTTACCTTTTTGTCTTTACCTTGAGAAATTAAGATTGAGGAATCACTCATTCTCCTCATTCTTTTTAGGACCAAAGTTACTCCTAGCTCTAGGATGTGAAGTGTTAGGGTAAGTGAAGTTTACTCTTTCAGGTCCCACGTGTAGTTTATTACACTGGGACAGTGACACGGCAAGTCATTTCCAACATAACCATCAATGTATAAGACGGAAGTAGGAAAACAGCAGTACCAGCTTACTCTCAGAACTGCAGAAATGTTTCTTTAAGTAGTTTTTCTTCTGTGATCTCAAAATCACTTTCAGGTGTGGTCTCCTGAGTTCCATGTACTTGATTTCTGGTCACTCTGACTCCTTTGTTACCCACGTGAAGCACGGAGGACCATGTGGTTGTCCCTCAGCTAATGGGCAGGGGACTGCATGGACCAGCACTGGTGCTCTGAGTGATTCATGCTGCCCACCTGCCTTACTGACGGGGAGCCCCTTCATACGGAAGGGTCTGCCTCATTCAAGTGCCAAAAGATAATCATTCAACCTTGCACAGAGGATGAAGGGATGGAGGTCGTTTGATCTTTTGTCTTTATTATGATATAATTCTATTTCTGTACAGTTACAAAGATGGTGGTCTATTGCAGGAACATCAGGAGAACATCCTGGGTAACACCATGCAAAGTGTGATTGCATTGCTCAACAATTTGGTTGCCTGCAGAGATTCGAACATGAAGCTACTTTATGAACAAGGTAAATGCATTTTAGAATTCCTCTTTGATTATTCTGAGTATTGTCTATTCGTAAGTTTCCTCATCTTACATCGTAGAGAGTAAAATACTCTAATACTCTTTATAGTTGATCAATCAAAATAGACATTTAAAGATCTACAAATAATGATAATACTACCAGCAAAAATGGGAAGGTGGTTAGATTGTGATAGTTTCTTTGAGTTAATTCATCATCCTTTGTGGCACAAATCAATAGGCACTCCTTAGAGATGATAAACCAAGAATAGAAGTGCAAGCATAAGTATTTAGACTTATTGCTGCTGATCAGAATAAAAGCATATATGGTCAAAAGCACCTTGGAAAATGAGACTGGATGAGTTGAGGGTGGCTTTGCTTTACATCTTATGCATGTGTGTCATATTAAAACTTAAAACTTTTTAGACTTTAATTTTTAGAGCAGCTTTAGGTTTAAAATCAAATTGAGAAGGAGGTATAGAGATTTCTGGTGTACCCCTTGCCCCCATACATGCATAGCCTTCCCCATTATCAACATCACTCACTAAAGTGGTACTTTTTTTTTTTAACCAAAGATAAACCTACATTATGATTACATCATAATCACCCGAAGTCCATAGTTTACATTAGTGTTCTCTCTTTGGTGTTGTACATTCCATGTGTTTGGGCAAATGTATAATGACATATATCCATCATTGTAATATTATACAGAATATTTTCATTGCCCTAAAAATCCTTTGTGCTCTACCTGTTCACCCCACTGCCTTCCACAACCACTGATCTTTTTATTGTCTCCACAGTTTTTTGCCTTTTCTAGAATGTCAGTTAGTTAGAATTACACAGTAGGTAGCCTTTTCAGATTGGCTTCTTTCACTTGGTAATATTTAAGTTTCCTCTATTTCTTTTCCTGGCTTGATAGCGTATTTCTCTTTAGTGCTGAATTATACTCCACTGTCTGCATGTACCACAAATTATTAATCCATTCACCTAGTGAAGGATGTCTCGACGCTTCCAGGTTTTGGCAATTATGAGTAAAGCTGCTGTAAATATCTGCGTGTAGATTTTTATGTGGACCTATGTTTTGAACTCCTTTAGTTAAATAGTGAGGAGTGCAATTGCTAATCGTTTGCTAATTGTTTAATTTTGTAAAGAACCTCCAAGCTGTCTTCCAGAGTGGCTGTACCAGTTTGCATTCCCACAGTAAATGAGAGTTCTTGTTCCTCAACATCCTTGCCAGCATTTGGTGTTGTCAGTGTTCTGGATTTTGAACATTCAAACAGGTGTGTAGTGGCAGTTCATTGTTTTAATTTGCATCTCCCAGATGGTATATGACATCGAGCATTTTCTCATATGCTTGTTTCCCATCTGCTCTAGTGGATATGGGTAATCGCCAATCTTTGGCTGTTACAGGCAGTTCTGCAGTGAATAGGCTTATAAATACATAGTTTCACATGGAAGCAGGGTTACCTATAGAGTAAATTCCTTAAGTTAGAATTGCTGGATCACAGGGCCTATGCATCTGTAGTTTTCATAGATATTGACAAGTTGTTCTAAGCAGTATGACAATTTATAGTTTCATCAAGGTGCGTGAGATTGCTTGTCTTCAGATCAGAGAGAGCGTGTTATGTTCTCCTGTTTGTTCAAAACTTCATTGTATCTGTTGATAGTTTTCTTTATATAGGCCTTATGCATTTCTTGTTGTTTATCTCTTCCCAGGTGTTTTATCTTTTTTGCTTGCTATTAGAAATAAGGAATTTTCTGCCAATATAGTTTTCAGGGTTTTTTTTAGTGTGTGTTTGAAAGTGTTTTTATTTCTGTTTACTAACTTTGCATCTAAGTTAATTCTCTTACTACTTTCCATAGTAATGGTTTTTAAATGATTCTTTTTATTTTTCTGGCTATATACTAATAACCATTGCAAATAGTGACAGTCTTTCTTTCCAGTTGTTATAGTTCTACTTTTTCTCTCTTGCCCAGTTACAAGATTCAAAGAGGATGAGATAGAGGATATCTTGGTATTGCCTCAGAATCTTTTTTTCTGGTTAAGAAAGTAGCCCTCTATTTAAATTTTATCTTTTGTAATCAAGAATAAAAAATGACTGTGTCGGATACTTTTTTGGCATCTCTGGAAATGCTCAAAAGATTTTTCCTTGAGTCTATTCATGTAATGAATCTATTCATGAGTCTATTCATGTAATGAATTATATTTAATAGAATATCTGATATTAAACTGTCCTAGTATTTGAGTTAGTAACCACATTTAATTGTGATATGTTATTCTTTAATTGTGCTACCTAAGTTCTTTGTTAATATTTTATTCAGAATTTTCCTTGGCCATTCATAAGTGTGGCTGGTCTGTAGTTTTGTTTCTTATTTCTTTCTTTAAAATGCTTTTTCCCCCTGGATTTTGTTGTTAATGCTATGTTGCTTTATTATTTTTTTAAGGAAGTTTTCTCTCTCTTTTTTGGTTCTGTAACAGTTTAAATATCATTAAATTACCTACTGTTTAAGTTAGGTTGAATTCCCTTGTGAAGCCATCTGGCTGGTGCTGTTTTTTGGAGGCATGGTAGTAGTGGTAGCTCTTTGACATTGTTCTCTATTTCTACAGTGATAATAAATGTTTTCCTGTTCTTCCATCTTTTGTAGAGTCAGTTTTAGTATACTTTCCCAGAAAGTTTTCATTTCATACACACTTTCAAATCTATTGTCCCAGAGTTGGACATATAGGTTCTCATAATAACTCTCTTATTTTCCTATGTTTCAGAAGTTCTCTCTCCATTACCATTTCCTATAGTACATATTTGCATTTGTGCATTTTTATTGAGTAGTTAAGATAATGGTTTTACTATTGTGAGTGTATGTGTATGTAACATTTTAGACCAGTTTGGGAATTTACTTTTTAGTCCTACTTAAAAAAATTTTCTTCTGTTGTCTATTGATTCATTCCTTATGCTTTTGTTGAGTTTGTTTTGTCATTTTTCTGTCTTTTTGAATAAGACACTTAACTCATTTATATCTCCTTTCTTTCTGTTTAATCAGTGAAATATTTAGAGCTATGAATTTTCAAGTATTGCCTTACTGAGGATTTTAACTTGTAGTACTTCCATCATTTTTATTTTCTACATATATTTCAATTTGGTTTATGTTCCTTCATTGAGCCAGTAATTGTTTAAGACTGAGGGCATATTTTGGAAGCCAGAAGAGCAGAAAAATATTTTTGAAGTTTTATTAATTCTGTTATTTTCAGTTTTATTGCACCATGATCAGCAAATTTTGACAGTACTATTTCTGCTTCTTAGAATTTATTGAAGTTTTCTATTTTTATGATTTGTTATGTATACTGGAAAAAGTGAGTATTGACTTTTTCCCGTGACAGTAACTGGTTCTAACATGCCATCCCACCCAAAACAACAGTAAAACTCAATGAAATATGTGAAGCAGTTGTTTTCAGTCATTGGAAAATAGACAGAATTGGGCTGTGAGCCTTGAGAAGGGAAACAAATGAAGTGAACCTCATATCCCTTTTTCGTTGTTGTTATTGTTGTTTTTGCCTAGTTAGGGAAGCAGAGTCCAAGCAGAATACAGAGATCTTGCTGAGCTATGGAGGAAGAGTTTAGTATCCAGGGTTGTGAATTGGTGAATATTCACAGTGGAGAGTATAAGAGAAGAGGTGCGAACAGGGATAGGGCTCAGAGGTCTACACAGAGGTTTCATACGGTCCTTTGTGAGGTCTGGGCTGCACTGCATATGCATAAAGCAAGATTCTGTTAGGCTCAGAAGAGGATAGAGCAGATGCTGTAAGGTTGAGAGCTGAATGGAGAGAGCAGAAATTATGCAGTGATGGGAGATGTAGGAATCCAGCCTAGCCAGTGGAGGTCCCATGCTATGCACCTAAGTCAGGTTACCCCGGTCTGAAACTAAAGGCTACTCTAGACCTGCCAGAGAGTTTTAACCACGTCCTAGGACTAAGGATTAAACCACCCTAGACTGGCCTAACAAAGAATAAAGCTAAGCTCTTCAGGGCCAAAAGATTCACAAGGAATTTAACTGCCTGCTAGAACAAAATGAATACCACTTAAAAGATGACAATACAATCCGCATCGTCTGCGATACACTATCCACAGTGACAGGCACACCACCAAAACTTAATAGACGTGAAAAAGAAGCTGGAAAATGTGACTCATGATGATAATGATAATAATAATACTAAAATGTCAATTAAGACAAAACCCAAGATTACCCAGATGTTGGAATTAGCAGATCAGTCTTTTAAACCAACTATTATAAATACATCCAAGGCCAAAGAGAAAAGATGGCTGTAATATGTGAAGAGATAGGGAATTTCATCAAAGAAGAACCAAGTAGAAGTCTAGAACTGAATATTTTAATATGTGAAATGAAAAATTACCTGGGTAGGGTTACTAGCAGACTGAAGACTGTGAAAGAAAAGGTAACTAAATTTGTAAGATTAGTAGAGGTTTTTCCCAAAGAGAAAAAGAAAAAGCTTTTTAAAAAAGTAAAAGAGCATCAGTGGCCTTTGGGACAATAATCAGGCCTTCTCATATATGTGTAATTGGAACCCCAGAAACAGAAGAGGGGTAATGGGGCAGAAAAAGTATTTAAATAAATAATGGCCAAATTATTCCCACGTTGGGGGAAAATATTTGCAACAGATCTAAGAAGCGGAGAAAACCTCTAGCAGAACTGAAAGACAGAAACCACCTCAGCACATAATAGCCAAACTTCCACAAGTTGAAGGTAAAAATTTGAAAGTATTCAGACAAAATGACACTAACCACAGATCAACAATCTAAGTGATGGCTGATCTCTTGTCAGAAACAGTGGAAGCCAGAAGAGCAGAAAAATATTTTTGAAGTGCTGAGGTAGTATAAGTTGCCAACCTAGATTTTTATATTCAGTGAAAACATCTTTAAAGATGAGGGTGAAGAAGGGCATTTTGGATAAATGAAAACTATGAGAATTTTCTGCCTTATGGTAAATGATAAA